CTCACCTTCACTCCTGGGATCCCTGGGGTGCCATCCTTGCCATCGATGCCCGGGAGGCCCTGAAAAGGGACAGGAGCCACTCATGGGACACCTCAAAGGGACTCAAAGGCTCACGGTGGGGACAAAAAAACGTGGGGAGGGAAAGGAACATTCCAGGTGTGTGTGCTGGAGGGGACAAGGACACACGATGGCACAGCCAGGGATGGGCAGGGCACAGGTGCCACCAGCTGTACTCACATTCTCCCCCTTGGGACCGATGTCACCCTGGGGTCCCCTGATGCCACGGCCACCCTAGAGCAGGAGGGGACAAGTGTCAGTGTCCTGCTGGTGCAGGGGACAGAGCTGGGAGCTGGAGATGCCCCTCGAGGGCACCGAGGGAACAGTGCCAAGCTGGGGAAAAGGGGACAGTGCCACTGAGGGGTCACCTACCAGCTCTCCCTTGTCACCAGGGCTCCCAGGTGGTCCCTTGGGGCCTTCCCTGCCCTGGAGGAGAGAGGAACACAAGGATTGAGCAGGGCAAGGTGGGACCCCAGAGCGGGCAGGGCTGAGGAGGGGACACCCACCGGCCTCCCAGCGGCTCCAATGCTTCCAACCATGCCCTTGTAGCCAGCAGGGCCCTTGAAAGAGAGCACGGAAAGGTCAATTCCCATCCCAACCCATCCCTGCATCCCTGAGATGGCCCAGCATGGAGGGATGATGATGATGATGGTGATGATGATGATGATGCTGGGAATGATCTTGGTGGCATCTGGAGGCCGGAGCCAGGGGATGCCGCCCGCACTCACCGTCTCCCCTTTGGGTCCTGCCATGCCAGGGTACCCCCTGAGGCCCTGCGGTCCCTGCAGGGAAGGAAACACAGCAAATTCAGCTGGGAAAAAAAACAAACCAGCCCAGGGGGAAGCAGCAATTACAGCAAAACCCAACACTGGGAATCCAAACACGAGGAATTCCAGTCCCTCCTAATTCCAGAGCCCCCAGCAGGTGCTTTTCCAGCTGTCAATTCCATAACTCCAAACTGCAGCCCCTTCCCTGGGCCACAGCTCTTGGCTTCAAAGCAGTTTTGCCCTTTCCTGGCCTGCTGGGCTCAGCCCAGTAATTGTTCTTCATCTTCAAAGTGCTCTGAGAATTCCTGTGGGTTTAATTCCCCTCTGGGACAAGGGGGACTCAGGGGACAGCAGGGATTTATCCCAAATTATCCTGGGAACAGCCCAGGTGCCCATGGAGCTCTGCAGAAGGAGAACTGGTGGCATCCATGGCTGGGAGAGGGATGGGATGGAGGCTTTGCTTCAGCAGGGACAGCTTGGTGTCACCTCCCTGGTGTCTGGGGACAAGGACAAAGAGGCCACCCCCAGTTCCTGCAGCATTTGGGGGACAGAGGAAAAGAGGAATGAAGGATTTACCGGAGGGCCTGGGACTCCTTGTTCTCCAGAGGCACCAACGTCCCCCTTGGGGCCCTGGGAGTGGAGAGAAAAGGGAATGTTGGAGGGAGAGGGGACACAAAGCACCTTGGGGACACCACAGCCCCCACCTGGCACCCGGCAGGGAATGGGGACAGGTGGCCCTGCCCAGGAAGCCACCCTGGTCTCCCATTCCCACATTTTCCATTCTCCTCTTTCCTCCCTTCTTTATTTCCCTTCCCAAACCCTTTCCCTGGGTCCAGTCCCACAGGGATCACCACACTTGGATCCTGTTGGGATCCAGCTGAGACCCTCCCAGGATCCTGCTGGGATCCTGCTGTGATCTGGCTGAGGTCTGGTGTGGATCCTGCAGGGATCTGGCTGAGATCTGGTGTGGATCCTGCAGGGATCTGGCTGGGATCTGGTGGGGATTCTGCTGGGATCCTGCTGAGACCCTGCAGGGATCCTGTTTGGATCTGGTGGGGATCATGTTGAGATCCTCCTGGGATCCTGCTGGGATCCTCCTGAGATCTGGTGGGGATTCTGCAGGGATCTGGCAGTGATCCTGCTGGGATCTGGGTAGGATTTGGCTGAGATCCTGCTGAAATCCTGCTGGGATCTGGGTAGGATTTGGCTGAGATCCTGCTGAAATCCTGCTGGGATCTGGGTAGGATTTGGCTGAGATCCTGCTGAAATCCTACTGAGATTCTGCTGGGATCTGGCTGGGATCCTGTTGAGATCCAGCTGGGATCCTATTGGGATCCATCTGGGATTTGGCTGGGATCCTGCTGGGATCTGGCTAGGATTTGGCTGAGATCCTGCTGAAATCTTGCTGGGATCTGGCTGATATCCTACTGAGATCCAGCTGGGATCCTACTGGGATCCATGTGGGATATGGCTGGGATCTCCTGGAGATCTTGCTGGTATCTGGCTGAGATCTGGTGGGGATCCAGCTGGGATCCATCTGGGATCTGCTGGGGCACTCACCGGCTCTCCCTGCTTTCCAGGCTCTCCGAGGGCACCAGGGCGGCCTCTGTGTCCCTGTGGGAGGGGAGAGGAAATCCGTGAGGAAAATCCCTGGCACAGCTGCAGGGTGGTGGCACCATCCTGGTGGCCACGTCCCACAGAGCCCCCCCCCTGCCACCACATCCCACCCTGGGGTGCCCGCTGGGGACGTGGTGGGACTCAGAATCCCACTGGGGACATTGGGGGACTCAAAATCCCACAGGTGACACTGGGGGACTCAAAATCCCGATAGGGACATTGAGGAGCTCAGAATCCCACTGGGGACATTGGGGGACTCAGAATCCCAATGGTGACATTGAGGGGCTTCAGAATCCCACAGGTGACATTGGGGGGCTCAGAATCCCACTGAGGACATGGAACAGGTTCAGAATCCCAGTGGGGACATTGAGGGGCTCAGAATCCCACTGGGGACATTGGGGGGCTCAGAATCCCAATGGGGACATTGGGGGACTCAAAATCCCAATAGGGGCATTGAGGGGCTCGGAATCCCAGTGGGGACATTGGGGGGCTCGGAATCCCATCAGTGACATTGGAAGATTCAAAATCCCACTGGTGACGTTGAGGGGCTCAGAATCCCAATAGGGACACTGGGGGACTCAGAATCCCAATGGTGACATTGAGGGGCTTCAGAATCCCAATGGGGACATTGAGGGGCTCAGAATCCCAATGGTGACATTGAGGGGCTTCAGAATCCCATAGGTGACATTGGGGGGCTCAGAATCCCACTGAGGACATGAAACAGGTTCAGAATCCCAATGGGGACATTGAGGGGTTCAAAATCCCAATAGGGACATTTGGGGGGGTTTCAGAATCCCACAGGTGACAATGGGGAGTTCAGAATTCTACTGGTGACACTGATGAGTGGGGACATCCCACTGAGGACGTTTTGGGGG